AATCATCACAGAAAGCATTTAATTCAAATGAAACTGAGTATAAGAACATGTTAAAACAGTGTTTTGAAACTTCTTTGAACAGAAGCTATGATTTACATATAGATTACGGTACAATATGATTATTTCAGAGTAACGAAACCTTCTAAAAACAGATTAAACTTTTTGATGGTTTTGTGTTCTCTCAGCTTGATGGTTTAATTATGAAGCTTTCATTATCAGTTTAGATGATAACATCATTAGTTAGCATAAACTTCAGATCATTTTTGTTCCCGATAACAACTACTCTTAATTCGAAAAAAATATTCTAATTTTGGTTATGGAATTGTCAACTTAATACAGATCTTTCTATTGTTGAATCCTATCTCAAGAATAAATAGGTGAGAGTGGATGGATTATTCTTCCATTTTTCACCATGGAAACTTATTATTTACAGTATAAAGTAGACGGGATCAACAAAAAACAAACAAATAATTGGTATTTACAATAATTTATTGACAGAAAGTTAAGTGGTCAGATAGATGGTGAATATCAGTATTCCTTGAAAAATGGTTATTTAATTTATTTGAAAATGCATTCCTAACAGTGTGTACAATGCCTAAGGGTTAACATCTGTTGGTTGAATACAACATTGAAAAAATGGATTTAAAGTTGAAAAAACAAGATAAATATCCACTTCATCACTTATCGTTTTCAATGAAAGAATCACAGAAAGTCAGGAATTATTAGACAGTTGCTTTGTTTTAACACATGTCAAGCTATAACACTGCGCTAAGTCTATATAACTGGGATATCCATTGTTTGTAATAATCAATTTACTGTTGAAATGAAGGCGAAAAGTATCAAGCAACTTTTCATACCCGTTGCACAGGATGTGGCTCTCGTACCCCCAGTGGCCTAGTGGTTTCTGGGACCAAATTTTGGTGGGAACAATACCAATCACTGGGGTGCAGATACATCTAGCTGACGAGTCCTAAATCGGACGAAATGCGTGTTCTGGACCCCACTGCTAGCCATCAAGTAGATTACAACTTACTGTTGGAAAGTCTACATAGAATCTGTTCTTCACTACTTTAAATTTAAGTCAGTATGTAAAGCAACAGAATACTGAATTAGTGCAAGTTTTATAAATATCACCACTGTATCATATTTCATATTCTTAGCGTAAAGTTATTCACCAATGGAATTCATTTCCGTCTTAGTTCAAACTGTTTTTCTTCTTTAAGTATTTAGAAAGCGGCCAGGGAGAATAACGAATAATTCAGTGAAGAGACTCCTTTTGGTTGCTTCATTCTTAAAACTGTGTGATCACAGATGTATACGATCTTTTGGTGATTATCTGTAGTTGGCTTCATAATTGCAGTTGTTTTTTGAACATAGTCACAGTGTCATTCTCATCATAAGATAATCAAAACCCTTTAGGTTACTGAAGGTTAATCAACATATATAAGATTAATTTCTTATGTGGTTTAATCGTCTAAGTTTTTACAACTGGCTGTCTATAAGCTGTAAGAAACATAATAAAAAGTGATAACTTTCGCCGTTGGCATTTAAGAAAAGATGCTCTGTGTGAATTGAGACTTTAAAAAAAGGGTAGTTAGTGATATCAAAGTTTCTTCAACGAATGCTTTTCCAACTGATATTGAGATTAGTCTCCTATAATGGCGTATTCTGTAATAACCCAAAGTATAAACTATCATACCAGATCACCTATACATGCGGATATTAGTTAGTCAACTCTTGTGGATCAAGTTATTTATCATAAGAGTTTTATTTCAAAGAGTGCAAGAACATCACCCAACAAGAATGTACAAGAATAATAGTGGATCTAAAAAGGACGCTATAAATAAACAAACATTACCATCATCCACTATTCCAGTTGGAGTGACGCTTCATTCATAGTTATTCATGAAGTATGAAGAGATATCCAGCATGCCCTATGTCACTACCTTGCCAGATGGTTTAAAGCAACTGACAGGAAGCTGTGGATCTAGGTTTCTATCTTCTTAGAACTAGTCAGCGAGGCATATCTGCAACCTCAAGGGAATTCATGTTCCTTTTAATAGAGCAGCACAACTATGCTGACTGTAAAACTGGGCAGTACGGATTTGAATCCCTGTGAGGATATCAGTTTCATGGAGGTTGCAGATATGTCCTGCTCATGAATGCAAACAAGCATGAAACCCAGGTGAATCAGGGCTTCTTACCAATTACATTCAACCACTTAACATAAATGTAAGTGAATCGTGATGCCGATTCTCCTGGCATGATGAATGCATTACAAAACGATGGACAGAATTTGGTCAGCACATTGGACTGGATGATACAAAACTAGCTACTCTCTAGGGAATAATCAATGTAATCAAGACCTTTTCATCCGAAATAAACTCGTTTAACTCTTTCTTCTCGCTTAATCTCAATGTCAAGCCTTTTTAAAAGTCAACTTCATATATTCCCTTGACATAATATTGTTCTGACTACATTTGATATTCTGCATGTTGCATGGTAGTACACTAATTCATATTTAAATCTAATAATCCTCTTACAATTTGTGTCATATTTTGTTAAACTTATAATATCCTCAGCACCCTTGACTAGCTGACGATAAGAATGTCATAGATGCCTCACTAGAAATTTTTTATATTTCTCATTGTACAACTTTGTGAATAAAACCATCAAGCAGAGCTGCTTCTTAGTTGGACGAAGGCAATCAGGAGGAAGCCCTTGACCTAGGTTTCGTGCTTGCTGGCACTCATCAGCAAGGTGTATCTGAAACCCCGATGGAAATGATATCCCGCTTGGGATTCGAATCCGCTTTACAACTATGCTATTCGGGTCGTGATTCCCCATAAATTCTTGTTACTCTGAGCTATCCACAAGCAGGAGATAATAACTTTGGTTAGTAGGTATGATCAGTAAACAACCTGTTCATTTTCACTTTCCAATGATGACTGTTATCAAGTGTTTGCCAATATAGCCTAAGCCTAAATGAGGGAAGCCTTATTCCCCGATGTCTAATCAAATCTTTTTAAGTATCTGAGACATACTGTTTATGACAAACATTTCTTTTCATTTAATCTGCCAACCAGATTGTAAATTTCGACTCTTCCCTAACTCTTTGAAGATGATAGACAATCAAGGATCGTGTTGATAGTCACGCTTTGTCGAGAATTAACTGGAGCTTTGAAAAATGTGAGTGATTATCATTCAATTCATTGGCTGAAAGATAATATGCTAGTCGAAATGCCTCTTTATTTCACTTTTCAATCCTTTATGAAGTAAAGACTGTGTGTACCATCGTAGAATTTTTAACGAGATCAGATCATTTGTTCAATATTCAGTGGTTTCTACTTGTTACCTACACAATGTCAAATCTTAGGGTAAACTATCTTCAAACTAAAAATAACTATTAAATAGTGGTATATGCGTAAACTGTATTTCAGAGTAAAGATTTATTTTCAGTTTCTGAAGATCACACTACTAATGTCTGGTAATTTTGTGTGACACGTGTTACTTACGTTGTAAATATACCATTCGATCACACAACCTACACACTAATGACTACAAATTCGTTCCAGCAATTCACACGTTTTGTGCGAAGTTTTACTAGTTTTTTAAATAGAATTTTGAAGTTTGACAGTTTACAAAACACATGTCTTGTATAGATCAGCTGATACAATTTTCTGGATTTCAGCATTTTACATTCAATTAAGATATGTAGTAAAGAAGTTTAATTGTGTAATGTAGTAGTGTGTTGCAATATCGACCACAGACCGTAAGGATATAGTATAGACAATAACGCAGTCTGAGCAGAACAGATCAGATGGAAGATCTAATTCTGCATGTATACCAAATATGGGTTAAGACTACAAAAGTAGTATTGGTTTGACAAATGTTTGGTTTTCTCCGAGTTTGCAGGCTTGTTACTGGGCATTTCACCACCACTAGGAGACTTCATCAGTATAAAAATGGCAAATTACAAGTACCAATAAATAATAAATGATGTATAATGTCGATATAAGTAAATATAAGTAGAGGAAACTTTTGCAATAGTCAGTCAAAAGCAGGAAACTTATGTATACACAGATGACACAATGAAAACGATACACTCTCTAGTTATGGTCCATAAGGCAGTAGAAATTGGTAGTTTTGCCGTAAATACACAGATATCAGTTGACATCAGTTGCTGAGATGAATTTTTTTTAGCCTGCTCTAAACAATAAATAATTTTTCATAGCCTCAATCTAGTAGTTAATTTCTCATCGTTTACATCCTTTCAAGTGGTACTTCTCTGCAATGTTTATTAAACTGGGATCCTATACCGACGAATTTTTGTAAGGGATTCTGTGTTGATATATTTGGTAGATCTGTTAGTCAGCTACATACGGTAGGTAACTTTCATCGATGAGGTTTTCGCATTTCCTCAAATAATCAGTTCACACCAAATTAATTCACCTTTACAGCTCTGAAAGTTGTTTATAAGAAAATAGTGAGTAATAAGGAACACACACTGGGAAAGTATGCATATTCAACGTCAAGTAACAGGACCGTGACAAAAGATATGAGATAAGTAGTACATGAGATACTGACAGGTAGTTTAGCAATCTACTTCAGTCAGTTAGTTGGTAGGATATGCAAGATATTGAAGAGTGAGTAAGTAAGTGAGTGGGTGAGTGAGTGAGTAAGTTAGTAAGTGAATGAGTGAGTGAGTTATCTTTAAACTAGATACAATAAAAGTCATAAATTACGTTTTTAAAGTCTGACGTTGGCATTTAAGTAATTAAGTCTTTCGCCTATAAGTGTGTAGTTTGCTATCAAGGTATCTAGTGTCTGAAATAATTTTGATCAAGTGATTTAAGGTCCAATTAGTCTCATTTTTTACGTCATAGAATTTAGTATAAGAAAAAAAACCCAGAACAATGTTCTAAGTGAAGTTCACGAAAAACAATTCACTGAAGGTATATTGTGTTAACAAATTTTTTAAAGCAAGAAACGATACTTACCTTTCCATTATCCCCACTGTCTTCGTCAACGGCATGAATCTGGCCAACTTCTGTATCAGGTGGACTATTTTCTGGTATGGTGAAGAAATATAAATCTGTAAAGTGTGGTGTATGATCATTTTCGTCAAGGATTTCAATTTTAACCTCTGCTGAAGCTGTCTGCGCATTAGCACCGGAATCAGATACATAGACAAAGAATGTACGTTCAGGCTCCAGTTCTCTGTCGAATACAGTATTAATTCGAATTTCACCAGTATTCGATTGTATATTCACCCAGTTCACATCAGCTTCATCAATCCAAAAACGTAATCGTGCATTTTCACCGATATCAGCATCCGTAACATTCAGTCGACCAATCACTCTTCCAGGCGATGCGTTTTCTGGGCATGTCAATATCAATTTAGGTGATGATATTATCGGTGGATTGTCGTTTTCATCCATCACCTCAATATCTAAACGATATGTGAATACTAATGGTCTAACTGCATCATGATCTCGGCAAGTAAGTAAGACTTGGTGTCTAGCTATCACTTCTCTATCTAAACGTTGGGCAGATATAAGTTGGTAGGTGGCGGATCCAGATAGCGCTTCAATCACTTTTGGGACATTGTATTCAGACTTCATTGTATCCAAGTTGTTACTGTTATCATACAACGTTTCATAATGTGATCTAGTGGAAGACGACTCAGGTGCTAAACGAAAATACTCATTAGTTATTGTACATGCTACTACTCCTCCGTCACCAGTATCTGGATCACTGACATGAATACTGGCCACTGGTTGACCAGGTGGTTGATTTTCCCATATTCCGAAAGCAGATGCTACATGATTATTTCCAACAGCATTTGGATAAAAGTTCCCATTTGAGATTATGGGTGCCAGTGGGGTTGCAACAATGCTAGGATGTACATCATTTACATCTAGAACTCTGATGACAAGCATAGCTCGGGCAGACAACTGACGTCCATTTCGTGGATTGTCATGTACAACAACTGGGACATCTATTTCAGGACCAGTTGTCTGCATTGAAACAGTTTCATAGTCTAATTGTGTTCTAAGTCGTACTTCACCCGTATTCGGTTGAACTGATAAGTAATCAGCACCAATTAATCCTCCGGGAGCACTTGTATCAATCAAATACTGAAGACGGGAATTTTCACCGACATCAGCATCACGTGCTTGAAGCCAAAATATTAATGCACCAACCTGTGTATCTTCTGGTACAGATACAAAAAATTTTGGATAGTCACTATCCATTTCTAGAATCGTTTCTTGTTCATAGTTTAAACTTTGTAAATCAGTTGATGATTTCTGTTTCAACCATTTTGGTGGATTATCGTTGACATCAGTCACATGTACACGAAAATTAATTTGACTTGAACGTGGATTTTGTTTATTTCCATCTACAGCTGTTAGTGTAATATCATATGCTGGTACGATTTCACGATCCAGTTGACTTTTTAGAATGAAACTTGCACCATCTCTATTCATTGTCACTTCAAATGGTTTACTCAGTAAGTCAGGTATCAAAATATTGGTTTGTTGAGTTTTTGTTTTTTGATCTGTTGGTAAGTTTGGTAGTGGACTGATATTCAAGTCGATTGTATCCAATGAGTTTGAACCCATATCAGGATCAGATATTCGGAAGTAATGCAGAATACTACCAATCAGTGTATCTTCCATAACATTCAAATCAACTGAATGTACAGGAAACTGAGGAGTATGATCGTTAATATCTTCTAAATGTACATAGAGGTAGATTAAAGCTGCCCGATTTGTTTTATCTTGTTGAGATGAGGTGAGAAAATTTACTGCATTCTGATTTACCTCGTTATCTGACTGTACACTGATATGTGCTACTAAATAGCATTGTTGACTTGGATTGAAATCTGTCGATTTAGCTTTCCAATCAGACTCACCTAAAACTGATGCTGGTATACTACCTGATCGTGCATTACAACAAAATTTAGTCTTTAGACTTGCACATAATGCTTCTCGATCCAGTCGGGTGGCAACAGTAACCTTTCCAGTTTTTGATCCCACACGAAATAAGTAGCCATCGAATGCATTCAATAGTCTATATCGATACGCATCAGTGTTGGACATAGGGAATCCATTTTGATCGATTAAGAATGTATTCACTTTAGGATGTTTATTTAAGTCTACGACAAGGCTACCAGGTGTTACTTCTTCTAGTATGTTTGCATACAATCGTGTTATTGGTAGACCATTGAAATTCATCACTGAACCAGATGTAGATCTAATTAAACGATCTGATGTAGAATTACTAGTTCGTTTCATTTCACCTTTGTGTAAAATGAACAGGAGTACAAAATATATTGAAATATTTTCCAATAAAAACTTTAGCATAGTCTTCATTATGTATAAACGGAAAATAATATAGACATTCTATTCTAAAGTCGACTGAAATCTATTCTCCTGTGTCGCTTTCAAGTTTTCTTCATCATGCAAATCATTATTTTTACGTCTGTAAAGTGAAAAAGAAAAGTAAGAATTCAAAATTGAGTATGTATGACTATTCATTGAAGTTACTTCCTAATAAAGCATTCAAAACATTGATTAATTACTGGGGAAAAACCGATTTCATGTTGTCTATTCCTGAAGCCCGATCAAATTCCATGGATTATTTTGCAATGGGGTCACCGAACTGAGAGGTTCACCACCACGGTGCACTATTGATGAATATTAGTTGGTCAATAGCTTTTCGATGACCAAACAATGTATCTAATCCAGTCATATACGAAGTCAGTCGCTACCTGGTAGTCCAGTGGTAACTTCGCTCACTAAAACACTGGACTGCTCAGGTTCGGGTTTCAGAGGGCACATCACTTCTGTCGAGTTTGCAGATAAGCCTTGCTCACGAGTGCCAACAAACACGAAAGCTGGGTTAAACAAGGCTCCTGACCGGATTGCCTTCAAATAATTAACAAACTATTCAGTATAAGGAAGAAATTACGAAGTCCTGAAGCACTTTTCACCCTTCAGTATGATTCAAACAAATGAAATATTATTTTCAAGAGAAATTACCCCATGAATATGACTAGCTGACAGTATTCACGGTATGACTGAAAGTGGAGATTAAGTGTACTTCGGATATGGAATCAACTGAATGAAACCAGGTGGAATAAAGACCATCCGCAGAAAACATTTATTTAACTTCGCCGTTTACAGTGAATGTCTAAATAAAACGAGAAAATACAAAAAAATCTTTATCACCAGTCGAAGATTGCTCACCTATTCCACTATCATATGAATAATGTATTAGTTACTGAGTACCCTTATCATATACTCGTTGCATAATTCTCTTAAAGTGGCATTTCATCTATATTTAAAACTAGGGGATTGCCCGTTGAAGGAAGTAACCAACCAAGTTTAAACTTTTCTCAGTGTTACGTTCTTCATACCTTCTAAGACAGAGATAGAGAATAATGAACGAATGGAGCATTATGCTTGCTGAAAATAAGGGAAAGCATGGAATTATCTTGTTGTTATGATACTTGCAATTTGCTCAATCTTTGTTGAAAGATAAGCTCCTACACGAATGACTCGAAACCGCCGGATATTCGTGATGTTATGTTATTGATCATGATAACTAGCAAAGGAATCCGGAACGCATGTTTCGTCCTATTTGGGACCCGTCAGCTAGATGTACCTGCAGCTAAGTGAGCGATTTCATTTCTACTGAGGCTCTAACTTAGTACCTATTGCTTCAAACGTCAGAGCGTTATCCACTAAGCCACTGGAGACTGAGTCCCAAACAGAACAAAACCCGGGGCCTGAATTCCTCTACTAGTCAACAAGAGCAATATAGGATGCAATTATGTTCAACAAAAATATTTCTAAGCTTAAACATAATGTAACTACTTCCAAAACTTCTAAACAATCAGATGAAAGACCAAATAAAACTAAGTTTTCTGGTGAAGCTTGAAATTTCTTGTACATATTTTACCTACAGATGAAATAAAGGGAAAATATAAACCAATTTCAGCCAAGATGTCTTCACTAATTTATGTAAGGATTCAAGAATAATCATGCATACAAATATCAGCATAAATCCTCTATTGTTAGTTAGACTATCTGGTATATTCTTGGTTGACAAACTGTTCTGAAAGTGACTATTGGAGTCGGAATGAAAACCTGGATGGGACCATTATTCGGTCGACTGGCCTCCAGATTAACTGCCTGGCGCCTCGAGAACCAAGCTACGCGACCTAGGTCTCGATTTCACACCTATCTTTAATAGTTTTGCCCAGCTGTAATGCGAATAATTATCTTGGATGGTCAAATTAACCCTCAGTCTATTGGTCTTTGTTTCTAATTCGGGTTGATTTCAGTTGGGTTGGAAAGACCTGACTGGAAAGCTGGTACAGCCCTGGAAAAATAACTAGAAATCACTCATTTGGATCACAGGTAGGTAAAACTGCTGGTGGTTGAAGTGATCTAGTGAAGTAAAATGTAGTTGGGAGTTAGAAATTATAGCTACGTTGGTACGAGTAGTTTGGATGCTTCTGGTTCCAATCCAGTTGTAATCTGGGTTCTTATTACAGCTTTAGTCATCATACTCTGACATTATTTTCACGTTTTCTTGGAAACCAATAGATTCACTACTGAATGAAGTCAGTTAGGTGAATCCAGCCTACCCTGTTTAACTAAAAATTGATGCGTCTTTGCCGACACCTGGCCGAAATGTCCATCTCATCATATTCGTTGAAACATGAACCTCAAATTAAGTTAGTCCTATCATTTATTACTGTTATTTTCATAATTAGTCCCAGTTTATATGGGTTTAGAGATTTAATGCAAAAGTGAGCCCCTATGATTTGAATAATGCGGCTACACGAATGACACTGAAAGAAAATTTGTGCTGCATCACTTTTATTTGTGGATGGAAATGTAGACGGATGGAAACAAAGCTCTCGGTTTCAAGGTTGATACTCTCGAGTTGAAATGCCTAAGTTTTGTTCATTATTAAGAATGCCAATAGCTAACGAAGTGACAAGTATCCCAGTCATTGTTCGGTTAATATAAACATCTTATGGAAACTGTGTTTAGTATCTTATTTAGTTAAGGTAATTCCTCTCACTAGTTATAACACATTATTTACACTCATGCGATTGTAAATATACATGAAAGTAAAATTTTATAAATCACATCATTGTTGATTAAACTATCAAGGTGCACATATCAGTTAAATAGCTTTTTTGGTGTTAGGCGTATAGACCCTAAACAGATACAGCCGATGCTAACACCTTCTGATAGGCTTAAGTGTGGATGAGTGCTGTTACATCAAAAGTTTTATCTTACAACATATGGCCACTGGTCAATCGACAATTCCTGATTTCATACCATAATCTTCCGAAAGAAGTAGGAAAACGTCTAACCTTAATCAATGCATTCCCTTTCTTGATTCACTTCGTAGTATTACAAACTCTTTAATCTAACTAAATATTTTTGTTATATGGCATTTTTCACTTTATTTCTTTGCAAATTTTCAATGTAGAGACTAATTTTTCATTCCTGTTATATCACCTCCACTTCTTGATTTCAATTCACGCTTATTTTGCCACATTCAACCATTCATTCTTTCAAATATTTTAATACTGTTTATGTATCCCTCATTTTTATAGTTTTAACCTGTCTACAACTAACTAATCATTGTAATTTTACTAAATATATTGATGTCTTTGCCTTTTTATTTAGAAACTGAGTATTTTCAAGTCAATTCGTATAACTTTCCAGAGGGAAATCTTTGTGGAAGAAAATCTATTTGCGTAAAACCTTCGCCTAACTAAAAAGATATATGAATCTAATCAGACAGCTTGTATTCTTGACCCATAAAAGGCTTTACTAAAAAGCGTTCAACTGTATAAAGTCAAAAAGGCGTAAATGAACATTTTAGGGAATTATTATGAGCTGTGTCTTGGATAATGATGTGGAAAGAACCAGGTTTACTAACTTCAAGCAAGATATTTTAGTTATTCAGGTTAAAACCTAGGCTTATATCTTCAAACTGTTGCGACCATAAAAAGTGTTTGAAACGTTCTCCTATAAATAATTCCCTGTTCAGTGGGTCCGGTAAAAGTGACTTAAAGAACGACGGAGGCTCATTTAAAGAACTGTATATTCTTCACTCATCTGTAAACAAACCGTTCACTTTGATTATTCTGTTTAGCTTCAGATATTTAAGCAATCGATACTACTAATTCGAAAGATTGGTATTTCCTAAATTAGTCATCATGTGGAATACAGAACAGTACGGTGTTCCTCAAGTTGGTATCAGTATGCTTAATAATGCAAAAGAATATGTCTAGTAAATCCAAAAACATTAATTTTTCAAGTTGTTACTCATTATGAACTGATATCAGTTGGAAAAAGTAGACCGTTGTGTCCTGATTTAATACCTCAATTCCAGCTCGCCCGTCACGGAATCTGAAGGTTTCCAGCTGTCCAAGGGCTCCAAGATTTTTCACGATCCTCCAAATGATATCAGTTCATGATGAATGCCGACTTGAAATCAAAAAAATTCCTACAAACCTCATCTATAATAAATGATTGGTAACACCAGTGTTAAACACGACGAAATTTATGAAAAATGAAAATTTGCCTATCACTTCATGTATTCATACTGAGTGATGATTGAAGGTGAAATAAAAATGTGGAGCGCGGTGGGATTCGAACCAGAGACCACTGGGTTTCCGGCTCGATGATTTACCAATTGAGCTATGAGGCCCGACTGTTGACCAACTTTCTATTTCACTTCGGTCTAAACCGTTGATAAATAAAGTGAAATAAAAATCTGGTCAGCAGTTGAACCTGGTAGGTGAGTTGGTAGAGCACCAGACCGTAAACCCGGTGGTCGCTGGTTCGAATCTGTCCGCGGTTCAAATTTTCATTTCACCTTCAATTAGCACCCAGTATAAATACTGAAAGTCTGCCAAACCACTGCTATCTCAAGTAGTTTAAATGGTTAACATCTCACGATTAGATACGCAACATTGTTTGGTGGAATTTTAGTTTGTTAGTCCAAGGGATAAATATTGTACTTCCATAGCCTTTTATATACCACATCCCATTCACCGACACATTCGTCAACAATATGAGAAATTTTATGAAACAAAATCAATTAATGTACAGTTGTACAGTACTTTTATTAACTTTCTGCCTGTGTTAATAGATGAATGATTCCGGTTTCCGTGTAATAATTCATAGGCAAACAGAAATCTCCTGAGTAACTGTTGAATCAAAATATTTCGGCAACTGTATGTTTCTGGTCAATGCTTTTCTTGTCGACACAATTCGTGGAAGTGTCTTTTTCTAGACCATTTGAAAGTGATAGGTATTGAATTGTAGTGAAGTCTAGGACTCAAGATTTTATCTACTTTCAACTGTTCAGCTGGATGTATCCGCCTTCCGATGAGTAACCACTATTCGTCCTTTATGTCAAATTGAAATTAGTGGTAATATATA